CCCAGGACACAACAGGAACTGAGAAGAAATCTCTACAAAGTAATTATAATAATAATAATAACGATGATGATAAATAATCATAATAATATCTGTGAAGGTTCTCATTCCTCCAAGTCATGGTATATATGTAAGAAATAAGTCAAGTCAACCGGACTCGATGACTCGTGCAAAATATTCTCTGGGAATAAATGTATTTATTCCCAGAGAATTCCTATATTTATTCCCAGATAATTTTTTGTACAAGTCATTCTGAATTGAGAAAGCTGGTTGGATGACCAGTGAAACGTCTTCAAGAAAAATACAGCAAGTCCAGTTACCTTGACTTATTTTTTACAGATAATAATAATGTATACTGCAATCAAATTTGTGGATGTGCAGCTTTTTTGAAAATTTAAAATAAATGCTCAAAAGTCTGACCTGAATAGGACTGTGCTTTTCACATCATATACTGTATATATGCATACAACAAACTTTTCTTTTAATACAAATCAGTGTAAAAATTTAAAGGCAACATTCTGAAATTATAAACACAAAGTCCCATAAAGTGAATAAAAGAAAAAGTCCCAAATGTGATATCTACAAACAATGGCACACAATGCTTCCAAAAATCCTCTTGTGTATCTAACCAGTTGCAGCCATCAACCACCATCTAAAGGTAAGTCAAACTCAAAAATACTTTTTGTTATAGAAGTTCTAAACAGGCACAGGTGTAATGCAGCTGTAGTCCCCTCCTCCGACCCCCATCTACAAAGCCTAAATGTCCTACATGAACTCTTGTTAGCTCAACCGAGAAAGCTAAATGCCCTACATGAACTCTAATTACCTTGATCTACAAAGCTAAATTGTTTTACATGAATTCTGGTTAGCTCAACCTACAATTGTTAAATTGTCCTACATGAACTCTAGTTACCTTGATCTACAAAGCTAAATTGTTCTACATGAACTCTAGTTACCTTGATCTACAAAGCTAAATTGTTCTACATGAACTCTAGTTACCTTGAACTACAAAGCTAAATTGTTCTACATGAACTCTGGTTACCTCAACCTACAAAGCTAAATGTCCTACATGAACTCTGGTTACTTTGTAGATATATGCAAAAACATTTAAAGAAAAGAAAAATGTTTGCAAATGGTTAATAACTTACCTGCTGTAACAGATCCAGTATACTCACCTCTCCGGCGTAATGGACACGAAGGGTGCCTCCGCCCACAGTCCGCTGACGTCATGCCACTCCGCCCCCTCCTCGGCTTAAGCCGCAGAGCTTCACTAGTCTGACTTTATTGTTTTTAATAGTATTATTGTTTTATATTATTATTATTATTATTATTAAATAACAATATCAAATAATAATACTTATACTATAAATAATAATAATATAAAAAATAAAATAATAATAATTTATTGTCATTGCATAAAAACACACAATTGTATTTCCATTTTCATTCCCTGTATTAAATAGTTCACACAGTTGCACAATAAGAAAAAAAACCTATATACACATTGCTAATAATTAAACATATATCTATGTATCATTTAAAAATAAGCAATCACTCTTAATTGAGTAGAGGTTGATTGATTCATTAAAGGACATGCCCTCTTGGACAGCTGTCAGTCTGAAGAAACCCCCAAATAAATGCAATGGAAAGCCGCTTCATGTACAAATGTTCTTGCATTGCCTTAAATCTATAACAATCCATAGAATGGGTGGAAGTTTGATCAATTCCAGTTCCGTATTGGTAGTTGTCTTCGTTCTTGCAATCGATTTTAATCCTTTTAGCAATGGAGAGCTGGTTGGAATTGGTAAAATGGCCTGAGAATTGCTATGTCTAAGGACGGCGTGACTCTTATTTGAATAAGCCCGCTTGCCACTTTGACGTTGGTATTTTTTTTCTCTTCCAGACCGCCCCCAAGAGGTCATCTCTGGTCAATACATCAGCATGCTGGTGAAGGAGTACCGGATCTGCATGCCCCTCACCACAGAGGAGGTAAGTGGCAGTTTCATGGTACAGGAACATATGGTGAGCACTTATTCCGTGAGGGAAAAAAAGCAAAACAATGGAGCAGTAGCCCAAAGCTATGTGACCCTGGTGGGCTGAGGAAATGAGACGAGCGTGGAATGGAGCGGATACTGTCCGTGCTGTCCACATTATTCAATTATTAGATCCCATCTGTCAATTGTTGCAGGCGTAGGCTACACAATGAAAGGAAGAATATGGCTGCTGTGAGCAACAAGAACCCTTTCCATACACAGCCCTTGTTCACTAACAACTCTTGTTACTTAAACCAACCAATCAGAATTTAGGGTTCAGCATCTCAATGGACAATGCCTGAACCAGGGAACACGCTAGACAAGGGGTGGTGCCTGAACCAGGGAGCACTCTGGAGAAGGGGTGGTGCCTGAACCAGGAAGCACTCTAGAGAAGGGGTGGTGCCTGAACCAGGAAGCACTCTAGAGAAGAAGTTGTGCCTGAACCAGGGAACACTCTAGAGAAGGGTGGTGTCTGAAACAGGAAGCACTCTAGAGAAGGGGTGGTGCCTGAACCAGGAAGCACTCTAGAGAATAGTCTGAAGAAACCCCCAAATAAATGCAATGGAAAGCCGCTTCATGTACAAATGTTCTTGCATTGCCTTAAATCTATAACAATCCATAGAATGGGTGGAAGTTTGATCAATTCCAGTTCCGTATTGGTAGTTGTCTTCGTTCTTGCAATCGATTTTAATCCTTTTAGCAATGGAGAGCTGGTTGGAATTGGTAAAATGGCCTGAGAATTGCTATGTCTAAGGACGGCGTGACTCTTATTTGAATAAGCCCGCTTGCCACTTTGACGTTGGTATTTTTTTTCTCTTCCAGACCGCCCCCAAGAGGTCATCTCTGGTCAATACATCAGCATGCTGGTGAAGGAGTACCGGATCTGCATGCCCCTCACCACAGAGGAGGTAAGTGGCAGTTTCATGGTACAGGAACATATGGTGAGCACTTATTCCGTGAGGGAAAAAAAGCAAAACAATGGAGCAGTAGCCCAAAGCTATGTGACCCTGGTGGGCTGAGGAAATGAGACGAGCGTGGAATGGAGCGGATACTGTCCGTGCTGTCCACATTATTCAATTATTAGATCCCATCTGTCAATTGTTGCAGGCGTAGGCTACACAATGAAAGGAAGAATATGGCTGCTGTGAGCAACAAGAACCCTTTCCATACACAGCCCTTGTTCACTAACAACTCTTGTTACTTAAACCAACCAATCAGAATTTAGGGTTCAGCATCTCAATGGACAATGCCTGAACCAGGGAACACGCTAGACAAGGGGTGGTGCCTGAACCAGGGAGCACTCTGGAGAAGGGGTGGTGCCTGAACCAGGAAGCACTCTAGAGAAGGGGTGGTGCCTGAACCAGGAAGCACTCTAGAAAAGAAGTTGTGCCTGAACCAGGGAACACTCTAGAGAAGGGTGGTGTCTGAAACAGGAAGCACTCTAGAGAAGGGGTGGTGCCTGAACCAGGGAGCACTCTACAGAAGAAGTTGTGCCTGAACCAGGGAACACTCTAGAGAAGGGTGGTGTCTGAAACAGGAAGCACTCTAGAGAAGGGGTGGTGCCTGAACCAGGAAGCACTCTAGAGAAGAAGTTGTGCCTGAACCAGGGAACACTCTAGAGAAGGGGTGGTGCCTGAACCAGGAAGCACTCTAGAGAAGAAGTTGTGCCTGAACCAGGGAACACTCTAGAGAAGGGTGGTGTCTGAAACAGGGAACACTCTAGAGAAGGGTGGTGTCTGAACCAGGGAGCACTCTAGAGAAGGGTGGTGTCTGAACCAGGGAACACTCTAGAGAAGGGGTGGTGTCGGAACCAGGGAACACTCTAGAGAAGGGGTGGTGTCTCAACCAGGGAACACTCTAGAGAAGAAGTTGTGCCTGAACCAGGGAACACTCTAGAGAAGGGTGGTGTCTGAAACAGGGAACACTCTAGAGAAGGGTGGTGTCTGAACCAGGGAACACTCTAGAGAAGGGGTGGTGTCTGAACCAGGGAACACTCTAGAGAAGGGGTGGTGTCTCAACCAGGGAACACTCTAGAGAAGAAGTGGTGCCTGAACCAGGGAACACTCTTGACCTTTGAACCCCCAAATATTTGCGTATGACTATAGCGTGTGTTGAAGTAATCTAACGCGTCTCCTCATGAGATGACAACAGTGCAGAGGCCACAGCTCCCATCGTGTAAGATCGCCAGTTTGATCCTCACACCCCAAGTATCACTCGCTTTCCCCACGATCACACTTCAGCTCCATCTCCTCATTACCGCCAATTAGATATTAATAGGCACACGCTCCTGTTTTTGCTGAGGACGCTCGCTCAGAACTGGGAGACGACGCGCACCGCGAGAACGCAGCAATTAGGCCCGGAATCCAAGGCGGCTTTATTTATGTGCAACTTCTACTAAGGGGCACCACAGCGAGAACCAACGTCGGGTATACACAGCAGGGGCCTGGTTGGGTGTTACTGACATAAGGCTTTTACTTGCACCAAAGGCTGACGCACAGCCTGCGCTAAACTTTGCACGCCGGCCCTGGACGCCGCATTATGTCTACAGCTTAACCCCTCAGATCCGCGCTATCCAGTACTGACACGGTTAAGCTGGCTGTTCTTTTTGGAACATGGGGGGTTGACGTGACTCTAAGGTTCGTGACAGTATGACAGGTCCCCATGTGTTACCGTAGTAACAGTGACAGGTTTACATTGTCTAAGTAGGAATTGCCATTAGCAGGTAAACGGCTCAGATTGAGATGCTGAGGAGAGGGAGGGGGGGGGTCACTTAGTGTGCGCTGAGTGAAATGATAATATAGTTCTGTAGGCCTGAAATCTCATATTTACACAGCAATGTTCTGCACAACATCCGAGAAGACTTTTCTCTTTCCTTCTTCCTTCATTTCTACCCTTTTCCCTTCTTCCTCCCTCTGTCCCTTCCTCCATTTCTTCATATCTTCTCATTCTATTTCATTCCTTTCTTCTCTTCTCCTTCCTTCTTAGATCCTTTCCTTCTTCCATTGTTATTTCATTCCTTCCTACCATCCTTTAACTCTTCTTCTTCCTCTCCTTCTTCCTCTCCTTCTTCCTCTTCTTCCTCCTCTTCTTCCTCTCCTTCTTCACTTTTTTCCTTCCTCTTTGTATCCTTTTTCTTTTATTTCTTCCCTCTTTTCTTCCTTTTTTCTCTTGCTTCCTTCATGCTACCTTTCTTTCTTCCCCTCTTCTTCCCCTGTTTCCTTCCATCCTTCTTTTCCTTCCTTCATGCTACCCTTCCTTCTTTCCTTCCTTCCTTTGTTTCTTCATTCCTTTCTCCCTCTCTCTCCCCTTTCTTTCTTTTATTCCCAACCTCCATATTTCCCTCTTCTCCCAACTTAATTCTCTCCTTCCATTCATCCTTCTGTTCTCTCCTCCCCAATCCTTTCCTCCCCTTTTTTCTTTTCTTCCTTCTCTCTAGCTTTCCTTTTACTTCCTTCCTTTCTTCTTTCCTGTTTTACTTCCTACCCTCCTTACTTCCTTCTTCCTTTCCCTACTTCACTCTCTCCTTCCAGCCATGCTTCCTTTTCCTTCCTATCCTTCGTTCTCCCCATCCATCGGTTCTTTGCTCTCCCCTTTTTTCTTCTCTCTTCTTCCTTCCTTCCTTCCTTCCTTCCTTCCTTCCTTCCTTCCTTCCTTCCTTCCTTCCTTCTTTCTTTCTTTCCTCCCTTCTGTAACGAATGATGAAAGAGGGTTATTTCTATTATCCTGGCGGTTGCTCTCATTTATTTCGGGTTTCTATCCTCTTGGTGTCACCTGACGGGAGGAAGTCCTCTTCCATTGGTTGGTGGAGGAGGAGGGGATGATGGGAAGGGTAGTTTAGCCGTGGCCAGGTCGGTATACAGTTTTAAAGAGACAGGACGTTGAATTTAAAGCGTCCTAGAAAAGCAAACTGAAGACAGTAAACTCGAACCGCGAGGTTTCATTCCCGAGCTTCGGAGAAACGTCTTCTCTGTAATTAATCTTCTCACTCGCCGCGGACGTTCCGGATTTTCTTACCTTTCGGGGGAATCTATGTGAAGCCTCTAAACAGTTTGCGCTGCAAACATTTACCGCCGACGCCGTCTCCGGGGGAATCAGGACCACGCCGGCCTGCAACTGGCCCTGACATGTATACTATTTTCCCATCTGGCACTCCTGCGCTAATCGCCGCGGCCGCTGTGCGGTTTCACCTTGTTTGGGTGACGTTTGCCGCGATTGGGCGGAACGCGCACCGCACAGAGGATTTATTATGAGGAGGAAATTAACGCTAGGAATAAATTCCAGGTTCCCAGAGGCTTTACAAGAGGCTTTACTACAGCAAAAGCAGAGCAGAACTCTGGGCAATGCACTAAATACATGACAGAAATACATAGGACGGAGCTGCCCTACCTGCTGAAGGAGTTGTATTTCTGTTTATCCAGTCCTGACGTTTACACAGCTCTGCCACACACCACAGGCCTTTCTGGTGGTGCAGGAGACTGATTTGTTCTGCTGCAGTTCAGTAACTTGTCCCTCCTCCAAACTGTGAATGAGGACAAGCAGCAGGCTTATTAGCTCATCCCCCGGTCACTCGGCTCTCTCCTCCTATCAGCACGCTCCTTTCCTTGCAGTGCCAGGGTAGCCCTACTGGGTAAGGGTAAGTTTGTTATTTTCCCTTCTTCAAGATGCAGGCTGGGGGCCTTCTGATGATATTGTCGTGGAGTTCTTTTTAATATGCACCCCAGCCTGTGATCCTGCTTTACTCCTATTATCCACCTGCACAACAGCCAGAATTTCAAATCAGGCTGACAGTGGGAGTGGCTTTAGAGTTGATGAAGGAGGAGGAGGATGGTCAGTAGATAGTAAAGGTTACCGCTCTGTTATTAAGCTCTGACTGTCTTCGAGTGAAACCCAAACGATCTAGCGACGCACGCGGCAATTGTCTTTTCGGAAGAATATAGAAGAGAGGAGAGGCAGCCAGGGGAGGGACTAAGGAGAGACAGCCAGGGGAGGGACTAAGGAGAGGCAGCCAGGGAGGAACTATGGAGAGGCAGCCAGGGGAGGGACTAAGGAGAGGCAGCCAGGGGAAGGACTAAGGAGAGACAGCCAGGGGAGGGACTAAGGAGAGGCAGCCAGGGGAGGAACTAAGGAGAGGCAGCCAGGGGAGGGACTAAGGAGAGGCAGCCAGGGGAGGGACTAAGGAGAGGCAGCCAGGGGAGGGACTAAGGAGAGGCAGCCAGGGGAGGGACTAAGGAGAAGCAGCCAGGGGACTACAAGTCCCAGCAATACAAACTAAACATCAAGCGGCATATGTGTTGTTCTGGGTGGCTCCGTGATGTTTCCAGGGTCTCAGGTGGCCTGTGCGGGCTCTCACCAGGGCTGTGCTGGGTCTCAAGTGGACTCTGCGGGCTCTCAGATAAACTGTGCAGGCTCTGAGGTGGGCTGTGAGGGCTCTGAGGTGGGCTGTGCGAGCTCTCAGGTGGACTGTGCGGGCTCGGAAGTGGGCTGTGCGACCTCTCAGGTGGGCTGTTTGGGCTCTGAGGTGGGCTGTGCGGGCTCTCACCAGAGCTGTGCTGGGTCTCAAGTGGACTCCACGGGCTCTGAGGTGGGCTGTGCGGGCTCTCAGGTGGGCTTTTAGGTGGCTGTGTGGGGTCTCAGGTGGGCTATATGGGCTCTCAGATAGGCTATATGGGCTCTCAGGTGGCTGTGTGGGCTATATGGGCTCTCAGGTGGGCTGTGTGGGGTCTCCTGGGCTATATGGGCTCTCAGGCGGCTGTGTGGGCTCTTAGTTGGGCTGTGTGGGGTCTCATGTGGGCTATATGGGCTCTCAGGTGGCTGTGTGGGGTCTCAGGTGGGCTATGCAGGATTTCAGGAGTGCTGGGTGTGTCTCACCAGGGGTCTGGAGGCGGGCAGCAGGAAGACGAAGGAGGAG